TCTTTTACCAGTTTGCATGTTCAGCGAAGTCCTTTCTGTATGGGATACAATTTCTCAAGTAATGAACCAGTGTGCTTTACTCACCCAAGTGGTTAGAAGAGGGTGTGCTTACTCCGAAAATTAATTTCCAACTGTCGTTCAAAACAGTTTGCACCAGTGAGACTGAATCTAAGGAATGTGACAAAGGGCGATCAGCGGATCCAGTTTTAGTATGGTTTAGTTTATCCGTTGTGTTGTGTATATTGGATAGGGTTTTTGGACTGACATAGTCGCCCGGAGGCGACTGGTATGGTATGGTATTGGTATGGAACTAATTCCATCCGTTCCTTGAAATGCTCGGAATCCCGGACTGAAGATGAGACAAGAGAATGACTAGAGGTTACAACCAAAACCTCTGTGTACAGTGTCCAAAAACAAAGGCTGTAGTGCATCCAAGGTTAGAGAGTAGTGCGAAACAAGTGGAAGGACACATCCCACTTTTATTCTGTAGAATCAAGAGATGATTTATCTCGACATTCCTCCTTCTCTCTGTTAATGCCGCCCACAGTTCAGTATGACTCAGTTTAGGCTGTTCCTGAAAAATACACTACACATCATTAGATCTATCAATTGACCCTTTATTGCATGTCTGTTTCCGTATAAAAGTTGTTATTTCGATCTCGGTTCCTCACTCATTATCTTATTATCTCATTATTATTATATCTTATTATATCTCTTATTATATCTCATTATCTCAGCCGGAAATCAGTAACTGGTCAAAAGGAGTCACTGCTGTTCGCTTGGGTTTGACATTGTTGCAAATACAGCCAAATATATGCGCACTTACCACGACAGAATGTGTCGGCATGTGGTCAATTCTAACCCTCCATTCACTCAACAAAACGGTCGGAAATTCACGGATTTAACGAAACTTACCGATACCACATTCCAACTTCAATCGGACGAATATATTGGTGCGATAGTGTCCGATGAACAATGTGCTCATTTTCCGGGTTACACCACAGCCTAAATGCTTCGGGGTGAAAATTTTGTCTTTTGCCAGATTTCCGAAAAGTAGAGAGACCTTTCACAGAATCCGGAGCCGGAGGAATGATCCGATGTAACTGATGTAGGTTCACATATCCATCCTTCGAATGTGAAAATTTCAGCTTCTGTAATGGCAAAAGCTAATCGGAGTTGTCCGTATAATACTAAATGCCTGACTACACACCTATTCTAACCAGATTTGAGGTTATGCACCAGAGAGGAATATCAAACACAGCTGTTACAAATCGGAGCAAAAATGTACATGAAAGATTTGACTAGCCTCCGATATCAACGGCGAATATTTTTTTCCGTAGGCAGTGATTTGTTAGATATCCAATCTGCAGAAAATTTCGCACCATCATAGACATGATCAGAGTCACTAAGTGGATTCATCGTGGGTGATACATCTGTCCAGCCTAGAAGTGATCAGCACTAAGTGGATTCTTCGTGGGTGATACATCTGTCCAGCCTAGAATAGTCGCACGCAGTTGTGCTGATTGTCCTCGTCATACAGTGAGTCATGCAATGCTGTGGGACGCGAGACGTTATTTTCTCCAGTTATTCAGGCACTGTGGCGAACGACAGTGTCATACGCACATTCTCACACAAAATACATGATTGAAAATCTGATGCGGTGTCGCACAGTCTAAATAACGAACTAACACTGAAATGTCATAACGGACATGTGTCGTTCAAACAATGAGCACTCAAAATCACTGAGACAAGAAATCAATGAAATTATCAAAGTAGATTGCACTCTGCAAGTGAAGCCAGTCTAAGTTAAAAAGCCGATATGCACAATGCAGTTTTTTCTTCCCTACTAGTAATCATCAGCGGAGTGCATCTCATGGAAATCCACGAGATTTTGAATTTCCCACCTTCTGGCTAGTAGTTCGAACACAGCCTTTCGGCCACGAATGGATGACAAGTAGTGTGATTGACTTGCACCCAGACAGGATGCAAGGCTGTTCATCCTGCAATCACGGTCCTCCAATCACGTGGTCACGTGTTGACTGGCTCCGTGAGTAGGAAGTTACCAAATGGAGGGTTCACTCTTCGTGTGAATCGTGAATCTTTACGTGCTGCTCACTGCAAAAAAATCAATAAACTGTCATGTATACTTTCGATACTCGATAAATCTGAATGCAACGTTCCTTCTAACGGCAACTCGACAGGAGTCAAATTACCAGGACGATGAATTTACCGGAATAAGGGAGGCTACGAAAACTTAACTGTTAATAGAACGGAAAAAGTTTGAAAACCAATGTGGCATGAAGATTACTTTCTTCTTCCTTAGCACTAGTGTAGCGGCGATACTACTGATGAGGGAGGTATGCGAGTAGTATGTTTTCTCGTAAATCCGCTTCGTGTCTCGTGAAAAGTGAGATCTATTACGGAATTTGTGGAGTCGCTTTGTAGCATTTGCTTGGGTTTGACCAACAGTCAATGAATATCCATGAAAGACGCGTTCAAAGAGAAGATGGATATTCAATATTTGTAAACAAGATGTATATGAGAGTTTTGCTTCCCTGTCCAATAGTCTGCAACTGTTCAGTTGGCATTTCCTAATAAGTAACTCCGCAGCGAAGACCTTCTTCCTTTCACTAGTACCTTCATTCCATATTCGGTGAATCAAATAGAAGTTTTTGAGCTATTAATTAGTATATATGGATTTACTTTTTTGTAAGATTAGCTATAGAAATTTGTTCGGTGCCTAGTTCTTGCACAAAAAGCATTATCTGATTATACATCTAAGTGACATAAATGTAAGTTTTCCGTGTATGCAACATGCTGACCATGTTATATTTTTTAATAAATAATCTTGAGAAACCTGTTGCTCGTTCTCTTGTCCTAATGAGGAGAAGAGGACATGTACAATCAAGGGCGAGACAGGGACTCTTTGTTTGTTCATATTTGCGTCAAAACCCACCGACTCGTTAGCACTTCACACATGTGCATCCATGCCATTTCCACATATTAGGCATAATAGCCAACATGGTCACACCGCACGCTGTTCGCACTCACAAAAGTAGTAATTTGATGTCTGTCCTGTGTTGTTACGTCATCTCACTATGTTTTGAACTGAAAGTTCTTTCACTGCACCCATTATCATTGCGAAATTTCCTCAAAAATTCGTCCTTCTGCCGAAATACGAATTAGTGAACCCATTTCGCCTTGCGATTTGTCGAATTACCAGAACTCGTTTGGCATAACAGGTTCCCTATTACACTTTTTTTATCGGAGATGTTGCCTCCCTTATCGATGACCGATTGACTGAGGTTCTATTGCAGACTCTACAAAGCCACCTTCTCCGTACATTTTGCTTGGTAACCTTCAAGAACCGTTGTTCAACAGTGACTTTAATACCGGTATAATAATTGTTCATTTTTATAAATTCCTCTGGTTCAGTGGTGTGCTGATAAGAAACATGGTTGGAGTTCTCCTTATTTTTGTTCGTTTAGACTGGGCATTATCTGTCCATATCATCTCTGAATATCCTATATATATATATATATATATATATATATATATTGTGAAGGTACTGGATTTATATTTGTATCCAGTAAAACTATTGTGTTGTCCAAATTCTACACGAATGTCGTACCAGTCCTAAGTTACATCAGATGAGCTGGATGAACACTCAGACTAATTTGTCTCTACTCTGTGTCCGATACTACTGGTGAAAGGAAAAAAAAGAGAAACGCTAACTGAACTGTGACAGACTATTGGATAGGGGAGCAAAACTCTCATGTACATCTTGTTTACAAAACGGAATAAACATCTCCTTGAACACGTCTTCCTGAACTTTCTTAGATATTCATTGCCTTTTACTCAAGTGCAAGCAAATGCTACAAAGCGACTCCACAAATTCCGTAATATATATCACTTTTTAAGAGACGCGAGGCGGATTTTTGGGGAAACATACTACTCGCGTGCATCAGCAGTAGTACCCACCGTTACATCAGTAATTGTTTCACCGTAGCAGGCAAATTTAATAGGGGCACTTTAAGGTCTTTTCTTCTGAAGGGGACTCAAAAATTAACCAGAACCGGAATCCATCATGTCTGCATGCAAAAGTTTCCATTTGTCACCGCCTCAATCTCTGTGCGGCTCTCGGAACCTCTAAACAGTCCAATAGTTATGCCCTAACTTCTCACGTATTCCCCTCGGTATTGCCGTCCTTCCACAGAACACATGCGTAGATTCTTCTGTGAGCAGCGCGCCACTCCGGATGGTGTTGTGTTTTTGAAAACTTATCGTAGCATGCTTAAATTTATTGGAGGCGTGCAACGGAAAATAAAAAATGTGAAGTCCTTTTTCGAGCTCGAAGGGACGACCTTGAGGTCATAAAAAGAGATAACCAGAAGTAAACCTCTAAATTAGTATCTGGGAGATTTGGATTCTTCGAATGTAGAATTCCAGTAGACTGCTTCCGTCGGACCCTCAAACATCTTTGGTCAAATTGCCGATCCAAATAAAGGCAACCGCTTGATATCTCAACCGTGTTTCGTACTCATACTCAAATCATTTTGATCAACAATTCTCATCGACCGTGAAACCATACTACTTCAACTACTGAAGTACGTTTACGACGTGTTCAGTAGGGCTGCTTTTTTATTTCCCAGTTAGCCCCAGCCTTGGCGAGTATTTGCACAAGGACATTCCTTGAAGAAAGTGGCGATTTTCGTTCCCCCTATCCGCTTCTCCTCATCCGTTTCGAAAGCCATGTACGGTAGTCTCTATCACCTGTCTCTGACCCCTTTGGGTCAGTCTATAGTTCCCCGTGTTCACTTCATTACTCCATCTGTGGACAAAGCTACCTGTATTCACTAACTGTGTTTTTCCTGAATTGTCTTTAGTGATAGTCACTGGGGGCACGAAGCCCCTGCTAAGTAAGCTTTCTTCTGCCAAGGGTATTTTTCGTTACTCGGTTTCCCGGCTGACCATGTCGCACTCGGTTTCGGTAAACGGCGTCAGTGGGGCGAGATAGCTGGAAGGTTTGTAGTTCGAACTCGACCTCTGCATCTCAGCTTCTCTTGCCCAGGCTTGGGAAACCTGGCAGTATCCCAGCCATCGTGCTCCCTTCGGATGGCACGGCAGCTAGGGACCAAACTGGTGCTGCAGCTGAACAGTTATTTTTTTATTATTTCCCGGGATCGGGGCTAGGAGGACAGTGGTCTCCGACTGCTACCTGTGTCACTGATATTATTAAAGTTACAGTTTTATCATAATTTTTTGCGCACCATACGCATTAAAACCACTCACCTAGCAAACGTTTATAAATATGTTGGCAGCTGTGGCAAAATACACTCGTTTGTAAACTAACTTGGTTTTGCCAGGAGATTCGGCTGAACCCCAGCTGAAAATTTCATTTATGGTACATTTAAACTAAATGTGTTACATAAAAAGCAGTCTCACGTTTCTGTTAGAACGATATGCAAGACGTATCAGTACACTGTGTAGAAAGAACACACCACTCACAAACTTGTTGAGAACTCTGGCAGCCCACAAGTAATTTCTCCTACCATAGCAATACTTTAGGAATCACCGATTTGCAATCAACTTGCCGAGACTGGGCCGCAGCCTTAATAAACGGCATTTGCCTACAATAAACTTGCGTGGGAACACTTAACTCGTGTGGCACCATAAGGCTTGAGCGAGGCTTGAGGAAAAGAATAGTTATCTGTGCCTATCGGTACGGACACACCTTATCTAACACGGTATTTTCAAGAAACGGCACCCGGAAGTCCTGAAGCTTCACTGATGTTCGGTGGTATTGTGATCGATACGGCCCTTAGACCTAACAAAGATATTATCGCAAGGAAACTGTCGACTAAACAAACGGGCCTTAATTTAGGTGTGAGGCAAACCAATATCTTAGTTCCACTAGCGTAAGCGTCTGGGGATCCGAGCTATTAAGCTGGATTGAAGGCTACCCGAATGGGCTTCCAAGTAGTGGTTGAAATCATGATACTACACGTTGAATAGGAAAACCAGACTAGCCAACGTTAGGACAACGCACCATGCGGCTTCTCCAGATTTGCTGTTTTGCGCACAGCTATGGGAACATCGTCTTGTACGGAAATTATGACGCATTAGGCATTATCGGAGATGCACACTGGATGTGACCAAGAGAGCTAAACTTGATTTTTGAACATTCTGGCTCAATTCAGGTATACATACATCACTCGGTATGTCAAGTGCCGAGTTCCTCAGTTTCTAAGGAATGTGGTCTCTAGTGTTTTGCTGTAAGACCAAACTTTTCCAGTTGTTCAGAGAGCTTGTAATTTTGTCCACCACTCCAATGGTGAATTTGGGAACACCCGGAAAACTGGTTCATTTAAGGGCAGGCTCTTATCCTGAGAATAGGGGATAGTTGGGGTAACATCCGTATTTTGGTTTACTTCAGGGTTTGATGATTGTCCGGTTACCAGACCGAATGTTCCTGGGGAAATGCACAAGAGTACAGCAACGGACAGATGAAGCCTAATCCACGTAGGTTTTCCAAACTTTACTTACAATGTATATATATATATATAATGACAATAGTAATTCGGTCAAATGACTTTGAAGGCTTCTAGGGGTGCAGGATAACGTGTAATTCAAAGATTACATTGGTTTCAGTTATTGCTTACAATTACAGCCGCCCGCGTTCGGGATTGTCATCCTCCTTTCGAATCGATTTCCATCAAAAATTACCGAATAAAGGGACCCACGCAGCGCTAAGATCATCTCGCCTCTCACTTCGTCCTTCCAGCAATTGAGCTTTTAATCTGTTACAATAAATGTCCAAAACATTGCGTAAGCTTTGTTGGTGCCGGAAATACGGTCTTTTAGAACGACTACTATCTGTTTCTTCGAGGAATCTCCACAAATCCTGCTGTTGATGGATATCAACTCGACCAACTCCTTTCTGTCAGATGACCCAAAACGATATTGACCTTGGAATAAATAGCCACAGAGTTTTCTGAGCTATTGGAAGGACGAAGTTCGCCTCCGCTTGAACAGAAACTTGCTCCACTTGGTAAAAAACTTCACACAAAGTGCCACGTTACGCTCAGTGGAAGAAAAGACCTCAGAAAAGAGTTTACCATTACTTACTCAGCTTCAAGAAGGGAGAACGGATCGGGGGCAAATGGAGAACCAATTTCTGTTGATAAATATCATCGAGACATCCAACTGAGGAAACCTAATTCGCGCGCAAATGAGGGTATTTGTCAAAACCCGTCCAATTTGGGTTCAAGTAGAACAAAATTTTGACGGAACTTTGGGGATTACACCCACTTAAGGTCGTGGGATTTCGCAGTTTTAAGCAACCTTATGAGTAGTGTGGTGGGTATAATTACCAGAATCAAATTTGTTTTTAAGATACTACAGTAAACTTCATAACGTTCAACCTGCTTAAACATTCTTTGAAAATTAGTCGGCTATTTCAGTCGAAGTAGAACAAATTTTGACGGAACTTTGGGGATTACACCCACTTAAGGTCGTGGGATTTCGCAGTTTTAAGCAACCTTATGAGTAGTGTGGTGGGTATAATTACCAGAATCAAATTTGTTTTTAAGATACTACAGTAAACTTCATAACGTTCAACCTGCTTAAACATTCTTTGAAAATTAGTCGGCTATTTCAGTCGTAAGCCTTAAAATGCCATTTAATAAACGGCGTTTCAAGTAAATTGGTTCGGTGTAAATTTCGGTTTTGGATGCTTGCGTTTAATAAAACAACGGAAGTGGGTTGAGTTTTGTTCCAGTTCGTCAGTAGCACTTAAAGACTTGAGTATGAACATTGTTTTGCACACAGCTTTTGACTAGGTTCATTCAAGTCCGTCAGCGTTGCAGATGTTTGGCTTGGGTTCACGTACAGTTACGTACAAAGAATGACCAACACAAGGCAGACAAGTGCTTCGATTCGTTTTATTGGGTGAGATAGTCCGAAAAAACTATGCTATGGTTATTATCCCCCAAAATGTACCGTCTATTTCTCTTATTTTCCAAATCTAGATGGATACATTTTGTCGAATTTACAATCTGTGTTTGGAAGAGGCGGTTGGGTGAGAAGGCCAAGAGTGTACCTAAAAAACCGATGATTTGACCGCGTTACGTCAGCTCCACTTCAGTTACTCCTAGATTAACTAAACTCACAAAGTTTATCGTAAGAACTCTCACAGGCTTTGAAATAGAGTTTACTTTATTGCTTAAACAGCAAACACTGAAGTGGTGGATTAAAACTACTTTGGTTTGCAGAGTTTGACATGTTTCTGGATGGCGCTATTTCAACCTAATAGACGACCGGCTTTACTCTATAAGATCTGGCCAATTTCAACAGTAATCAAGTTGACTAGCCAGGCGAGTAGGACTTGTACGATAGTTCTATCCGAAAACACCGAAATGAGATGAATAATCGACTAGATAATGTCATAATGTAGCTTAGGGCAAAATGTTTACATGTGATTCGGTGTCTGAGAATGTCGTGTTCCCAGGAATCAACCAAAAATACACTTCGATATCTCTCTCGCATGTCATACCAGCTGAAACATGAGGTGGCTTGGGTGTGGTCTACTCGGTTGAGCACCATCAGTAACAACAGAGGGATTCAGCTAAAATTCACTTGACTATGCACTGAACGTCAACTAGATTTCCAAATGAGAGTATTTTGATACTAATAACTTAGTTTTGTTGTTGGGAGGGGGCAAGATACAAACATCTTCACATAGAATAAGCTGGTAGCTAGTTAGTTTCCAGAAGCTTTCCTAACGAACTAGTGGCCGTTTTGCTGAGGAGTTCTAGACGGTTCCGCGGTCGGCTGTAATAGCCCATTTCACTCGGCAGATTGTTGTTCTAGTGCACCTGAGAGAGATGGTTCAGTGGGTAGGGCACGAATTTACTGACTGGAAGGTCCGTGGTTTGAACCACACCTCCGCCTCTCGATTCCCCTACCTGGGCTTTCCTCTGGCAGTGACCCAGCCATCGTGCTTCCTTCTGGTGGCATGACAATTGAGCAGCGAAAGGGTGTTACAGCTGAATACCTGGTACTCACTAACCTATGGATTCAAAGCCGGGGAAACTGTCACAGTTACGCTTTTGGTATGACGGAATTTCGCCTTGAACCCCTTATGCTATATCAAGTCGGATAAGGAATCGTGTGAGCACACTACGCACTACCTACATAATAGTCTCATTAGAAGCTCTAACAAAGTCTGGTCTGCCGTACAGTAGCACAGAGGGAATATTTTCCTCCTAACCTTGGTCAGCAATAATGATTTGTCTTCAAGCCGAACTACTGTCATCACCTCGATTGAATGACATCATCTTGTCCGTTAGTAGTTCAGAATGACGTAAAACAAGAAGTATAAGTCCTATGAACCCATTATTCTCTCCTAATTATAACTGATCGAATGAGCACTAACACACCGATAATGAAAGTGTTCATTCTTTACTTAATGTAATTTGTTTCGAGAATGCTCTCATGATTCTCTAATGAAAGGACATGGCAAAATGTAATATGTTTTATCCGGAAGCCAATTACGAGTTCTAAATGGCACGAGGAATATATGGTCTTCAGTTGGGGCAAAAATCTTAAGATATTAACAGTAAAACACTATACATGATAATAAATAATCGTGTAGCACACTTTCGGTGCCTAACTGCCATGCCACACGAAGGAGACAGGAGGGCTGGAATACTGCCAGGTTGCCCAAACCTTGTCAGGGGAAGTCGGGAGGCAGAGTTTGAGTACGAACCACGGTCAGTAAATTCGCGCTCTAAACATCCCCCACCCCCATAAAAGTTGGATAATTTTGAACACTTCCATTTACGTCGGCAGGAAACCTACAGAAACCACAAAAGCGGTCTAAAACTTCAAGTGATATGTGATGCAGTTGTGGAAGGGGAAACACGACCTTTTCTATTCCTTCCCAGATGTTCCAGGGTTCACTCCTGTGGACATATCAATGCTGCCGAATTAGCCTGTGCGTAAGAATCCATGTGAAATAGCACATTAAATGTACTACTTTTCTTTTGCCGCATAGTGCTTGAAGATGTTGCAGTGAGGTTGCTTTCGATGGGCTGCACTTTTGGTCCAATCGGACGGGAAACAATGGAGCAGCTAGACGATACTACGGTTCAAATACCGTATGTATGAGGTAGATTCTACTCGGCCGGTGATGGCGTTTCTTTTTTCATCCGCATCTCGTTTCATGTTAACGAGTGAATGCGTGGAAGCAAGATATTTAGACAGCAGGAAGCCTCCAAAATTGTTAATTCGTCAGGCTTGTTAGAGATGTCTAAACATTTCTGGACTGATTTCTATCCTATTGGGGTGTTTTCACCTGGGACCATCAGTTGCTTGGAATTGAATAGTATTGACATCGACGGACGGGCTATTATTGAGCTGAATGGGTCCAATCGGACTCGATTAGAAGTTAGACAAGAATCTCATCCTCGAAGTTAACACTCTCAAGATGCTTATGCTGGCCCGCTTGTGATGCATCGGTTGCGTCATCGGCGTGCGCCATTGAATTCCTTCTACAGTCTATTGGTCGAAATATGATTGGTTTGGAGAATGCGTTTTTTTCGCTCTCCGACGCTGGAAATGGTCTGTTCTATGACTGTGGTGTAGTGATTCACTAGCAAGTTGCCTTTCAAAACCTCAGAGTTTAGCAGTCTTCACAGGAGTGCATTGATTCCAAGATTATTATCCTCTTCAGTATTTCAAAAGGCAATCTGGACATTCTCGACGCTCGATGACTACCGAGTTTATATGGGACCAGGATGATTCTTCTTCCAAATTAAAGAAAAATCATTTTGCGTGTTACGAATGTCCACATTGATTTTAAGTTCCTAAATTTTCCTGCACAAAGAACCAGGTAATGAGTAAATCTCATCACAGCAAACAGTCGTTAGTGTTTGGTCTTATTTTACAAGGATGCCGAACCGTGGTTCTAGCGGAATGTCTGTAGAGAAAGGTTGCTGCTGTTCACATATCTGTTTCCCCCAACAACGACAACAAGTTCGAAATCCCAAACGATGTTACTGGTCTAGTGAATTCGTGCACAACAGGTGAGAGCATCTGCATGTCCGAAGTAAACGGACGACCTCTGTCATATCCTCGACGGTAACTAAAGAAAGTAGCCTGGATTCTGTCTTGGGAAATTCTATTTTATTGAGCAAAATCGCCATCCTGAGTAAAACTTTCAAGTATACACCATGAAGTGAACAAACTGATGGTAGTGTCAGGAGATTTAGGAACAGTTCATTCTCATTTCATCCTGTAAGTGAAGCCAATCTATATGCAGGATTCAGAATTTTTAAATTTCCCGCCTTTCCCATCTTTTGGCGCCTCAGTGCAAAAAGAACGCGCTTCTTTCCTATTGGCCATTTGAACTAACGGATTTATTGTTCTCCAAGGTCGCTCAAAATATATATAGTTGACAATGCCCCCACCATACTGGTTAAAGCAGTGAAAGCTGTCCTTCAAAGGTTGGGTTTTCTTTTCTTTGCGCCAAGGGTATTTGGCATTGAGTCATAGCTGGGGATTGTGCGCTCGTTCTCAGGTCACGTATAGTCGTTCATCGTTACCGTTCAGATGCGCAACAGCTTCACAGTTATACCCTGTATCCTCTTTCAAAATGTATAAAAAATCAATGCAGTTTACTATTTTCGCTCCTGTTTGAAGCTGTGGTGAAGCGAATGGCAAAATTGTTCCTGCTATCTGTTGGTGTACACTTGTATTTTTCCGGTTAAAAAAATATAAATTCCGTTTTAGTGTGGGGTCAAAGAAACCACTTTTCATAGCCTACTCTATGCAAATTAGCGTGGTTAACTGACAGTTATCAACAAAATTGAACAAACAACTTGGGTTCAGGTAAAACATAAGGTTGACGAAACGAAAACGACTGTGCTGACCTGATAAGCCCCAAGAAGGGTGAAACCGGTCGTGAGATGTCGAAGAATTTTCAACAACCTAATGAGTAGTGTACCACCTGCTTTTCATCGTCTTCCGCATCTCCGATCTTGAAGCCTTTAACTTTCACAGGTAAGTGAAAAACCCACAGTAATCATGAAACGACATCCAAACTTCTGGATGGTGTACAAGTGACAAAATGACGAAGAGTCAACGCAACACGACATTGATACCCTGATTTTTCAGCTCAGATCCAATTTGTCCATCTATAACTCGATAATAAGGCGAGAATGAGCAAAGTGGTCTTTGAAATTCGGCTGTTATCCTCGTCTCATTCGGGACTGGATATTGAAAGTGTGCATCTGCTCAAATCTTGGACAATTCTTCTGAATTGCATGGTAACTAACACCGATACGTGTGTAATCGGGATTGCAACGTTTTTCGTGGACAGAATTTACCGAGCAATACAAATTGAAAAACCGGATGCACAGAACACAAGGCTGATGTCCAGTCTCGATAGAATGGAAGCATTTCCCCGTGCAGACATGTTGTTTGCCGTTGGTATGGGCATCAAAATGTAAAATAAACTTAAATGTGGTTGTTTATTCTGTCCAGCCACTTAACTCAAGGTCTTCTGTTATTTGCACTTTTTAATTTCAAAACTTTAGACTTACCCAAGCATGTCCGTTATACGTTTCTGTTGATCGTTCTAACGTAGGTCATCTTGCTGATCCTCGCTCTGCTGCCTAACTTCACCTAGACACATAATAAGGCACCATGGCAGCACGATGTAAAACAACACGCAGTCGCCTGCGCCAAGGAGGCTAAAGCCGATGCGACTCGCGATTCTTCAAAGTACTACTGAAAGTAGCTGAAAGGGTTTGGATCTACTGGCAGTACATTTATCATCAGTGTCATAAGGGATATGTCGACAATCAAGAATGTTCCATCAGTCGAGTACTTGCCAGATATAGCCTGAAGACATAAGACCATGTGAAGGCTTAAACGGTGAACAAATCCCATCGATTCAAGTCACCATCGGAGCTTTTCTAGTTGAATAGCATAGCACAACCCGTACCATTTCTAGAATAGTCAATAAATATCGCCTTCACAATTAGCTGTGTAGGTGGATAAACGTTATCTTACGCCGTGTGTCAGACGTTTTAATAAGGCACGCGTTCATTAGAAAAAGCTGAAGCAGATGGTTATACGACATTGATCAAAGCCCTTGAAAGTACGCTGTAGCAAGCACTGAGGCCCGTGGTTTGAAGGTATCATTCGTGACAATGGGCAGGTAACCTTCAGTGAAGTAAATGTCACAGTATGCATCCATGCCTTATCGAGAATTCCCAACAAGTCAGCTAGAAAAGCTTTGGGACAGTTTGTGAACTGAACATATCAAAAAGGTTAACCCATCGATCCTTCTGAAAACCCTGCGCAACTAGCATGTGTACACCAACAGTGACTGGTCTGTGTGTATTTTTTATGGATTGGAGTATGTCATCCAGGGTGTCGGCGGAATGCATGAATTTATCTGAACCACAGCAAGTGTCGCTTGATCCCTTATGATTTTTGCAAGAAAAAAAGGTTGATGCTTCAGCTACCATCTTGGTGACCTAGATCTCATAAACTCTTCGGGCCTATGCGACTCTTCACTGATGTCACATATTTCAGAACTGCTAACTCCTGCTGAGAGGATGACCATGCTGGGCCTTGGTTTTGGCAACTTCATGCCTGGGTACACTGGGTCTAGCATAGCATCTAAAGCGTTCCAACGATCATGTGCCCACCACTGCATGTTGATATCCTGATGGGGGCCTCAAACACACCACACACACCAGGTTTGAGGGCCAAGTAGCGATGGCTTGTATTTCCACTTTACGTTAGTTCCATGAACGTGATTGAGTAGATTGAGTAGAATCTAGGATTCACCTTCTTGTTCCATACAGCCCGTCCACATTGATCCACTGCAACCCAACGATGTCCGTACTCACACATCTGCAGTAAACATTGGTTGTGAAGTAAACGGAAAACTCCAATCATTCGAGACTACATCGTTAGATGTAAAATCGACAGAGTTAAGAAAGATGTTGCTGGATGAACAGTCTAGGACATTTCGGTGCATTTTCCGAACCGATT